CGGCTGACTTGATTGTTCCTTCCTTCCTTAGGGCAATAACAAAAGACATCCGTCCTTCCTTCCTTCCTTCCTTCCTTCCTTCCTGAATCTCTTCCTTCCTTCCTTCCTTCCTTCCTTCCTTCCTTCCTTACGGTAAGAACAAACATACTACAAGCGCTTTCGGCGTGCCTTGGCAATGCGCTGAACCGTGGCCGCGATCTTGCTGCCACACTTGAATCCTTCGCCGAGAATGGCATGCGTTGCGGCAAACCGATTGCAAGGCTTGGAGGAAGGGCCAAACCAAACACACATGACAGAACGCAGCCAGCCCTGTTCCAAAATACGGCCTGCTTCTTTCAAACTTGGTCTGTGCACTGGAAGCAGCACAAACATGATGTCTGGTTCCTGATTCAAGTTTAGAAGCATGTCGGGGGTGCCCAAAAGGCTTGCACACGCAAGTAGCGGTCCCCACAACTTCATTTAGTCCGAGTGTCAAAACGACTCAAACAAACCCACAAACAAGCACACCAACACACACACACACTAACAGACAGACAGACAGACAGACAGACAGACAGACAGACAGACAAACAGACAGGACAGGACAGGACAGGACAGGACAGGACAGGACAGGACAGGACAGGACAGGACAGGACAGGACAGGACAGGACAGGACAGGACAGGACAGGACAGGACAGGACAGGACAGGACAGGACAGGACAGGACAGGACAGGACACACAAGGAAGGAAGCAAGCAAGCGAGCAAGCAAACAAAAACGTGCAAACAAACAACAAAGCAAACAACAACAACCACAAACAAACCGTCAGACAGTTGACAAGTGAATCAGTCAAATGGAAACATAAAGGCATCAAGTCAAATCAAACCCAATTCAAATCAGGTCAAGTCTATGGTCAAGCAAACTATCAATCAAACAGTCAATCAAGCAAAGTCATAGAAAGCTCAAATTGATGTGTGTTCAATCAATCAATCAAATCAAAGCAATTAAATTAAGCAAAACAATCAAATCAATCAAATCAGTCAAATGAATCAAATCAACCAAATAAATCAAATCAATCGAATCAAATCAAATGAAATGAATTAAATGAAATACAATGAAATGAAATCAATCAATCAATAAATCAATCAATCAATCAATCAATCAATCAATCAATCAATCAATCAATCAATCAATTACATCAAATCAGATCAAGTCAAATCAAATGAAGTAAATGGAATGAAATGACATGAAATCAAATGAGATGAAATGAAATGAAATGACATCAATCAATCAATCAATCAAGCAGATCAAATCAATCAACACACCTCAAATGAAATCAATAATATCAATCATATCAATCATATCAATCATATCAAACATATCAATCATATCAATCATATCAATCATATCAATCATATCAATCATATCAATCATATCAATCATATCAATCAATCAATCAATCAATCAATCAATCAATCAATCAATCAATCAATCAATCAATCAATCAATCAATCAATGAATGAATGAATGAATGAATGAATGAATGAATGAATGAATGAATGAATTAATGAATGAATGAATGAATGAGTCAATCAATCAAATCAATCAATCAATCAATCAATCAATCAATCAATCAATCAATCAATCAATCAATCAATCCAATCCAATCCAATCCAATCCAATCCATCCAATCCAATCCAATCCAATCCAATCCAATCCAATCCAATCCAATCCAATCCAATCCAATCCAATCCAATCCATCAAATCAAACCAAACCAAATCAAATCAAATCAAAGCAAGCAATCAAACAATCAATTAATGAATCAATCAATCAAATCAATCAATCAATCAATCAATCAATCAATCAATCAATCAAGCAAGCAAGCAAGCAATCAACGAATCGAGCAAGGAAGCAAAGAAACAATGAACCCCACACCAAAACAAAGGCACACATAGGTGAAAACCAGGGAACTGGGAAAATCATAACGATTCGACCGACCAAACAAAGGGGACACCCCATTGAGGAACCTCCAAACCGCCTGAAGTAAGCCAAATCCTCTTAGGTTGCTCGTCCAGTCAGCTCTGCGCGCTGACCATGAGGCTCACTTTTTGACAAACTGGTGGCCAACAAGGCCAGACTGCTCAGTTCCCGAGCTGGTTCTCCCAAAGTAAAACGGCCAGGAACTAGGGAGTGAGTTAGTTGCACACAGCATTCCCTAAATCTTCTGCCTGTTTTCACATCGCCCACCAGGGAAAGTAAGATGGAGCCCAACAATACAATCATTTTGGGTAGAAACTCCACTGGGACCCCAAGAAACCTGGGAAGTGAGAGACTTCACATGGTTCCTTCCGCTGGTGGATGGGCGCAAGACCTTTGACATCAAATCACCAGGTACTTGCGCGGAGGCCAAGTAGGGAAGCAACGAAAACAGTCTGATGGGCGATCTTGATGTTCATCCCCCCCGGAAAGAAGATCCATGTGCTTCTTTAAACAATAACAAACATGAGCGGAGTGGCATTCTTCAGGGAATGTCTAAAGAAATCTCGACTTCTCAGATGCCCGGAGGCCATGAGACATAAAGGGCACCCTTTTTTTGTTGGTTGAGTTTAAAGGGGACCCTTACCCCAAAAAGGGAATAACACAAAGAGCACCACTGGGCAACAGAGACTTTACCGCCGAGCCTCTCTTCTTCAAGGCTTTTTGAGTAAACAGCTCTTTGGAGGTCTGATGCTTCTTCGCCTCCAGTGCTTCGCGGACCTGTGGGGGGGCCCAAAGCGCCCCAAGGTCCGGGGATCTTCGGGGAATGGACACGTTGGCGCTGGGGTGGGGTGTGGTGGGGGGGTGCGGTGGGGTGGGGGTGCGGAAGCACCTGTGGCCCGGGAGTGGCATGGAAAGAACCTCGACAAGTGGTGCCACTCATGGACTTCAAGACTTTCCTGAGACCTGAGTTTTGGGCCACCTAGCTGCAAAATCGGGTCGAAGGTCACCCGTATTGGGAGTGTATCGGAGAGCTCCAGAAATTAGGATCTAGAGGATCTCCAGACTCCAGCCCAACCCGACTCACGGTCAAACCGCCATGCTTGCAATCAGAAGTGGCCATGGGTCAATTTCCCGGGTAGGTGAATTCACCACCCATTTTAGAACCGATTTTAGTGGGGGGGTTGGGATGTTCACTGGGGATACGATTTGGGTTTTGACCCATAGCCAAGTGAATCAAACACCATGGTCATAACCATACACAGCCTTCCAGAAGGTCTGTCGAACATCCAACTCGGGTCTCCGACCCTCAAGACCTCCATGCCCCGAACCCCAACGGGGGACACAAACCGAGTGGATTTAGCAACCGCCGGCTTTAGGTTGTTGGTTTCTTGAGGTGTTGGGCCTGCGGCATAGCACGGCGCGCGCTGCCATGGCAACTTGACTGGTCCCCCTCCAAACCCTAAAAGCTCCCCCTTCAGCTCCGGAAACCCCAATTAGAATCACAAAACGGTGGTCGTTTGGGTTCCCTTCAAAAACCAAGATAGAAATGAGTGCCTCACTTCTTGAGTGGATTGGCCAGAAGAAGTCTGAGCTTTTTCCACTAAAATGGTCCAACCCCAAAAGTACGGTCCAGAAGCTCGAGTGAGGTTCCCAAGAAACAAAGTTCCAGTGATAGATTCCAGTTTGAAACCAACAAGGGAAACAAATTACCTGGCATTCTTCAGCAACTGGAGGCCATTTCGAGGCCAGGAAAAAACAACAAAAACGACCGGCCCCAAGCGGCGCCCCCGTTGCGCCCCCGTTGCGCCTCCGTCGCCAGCTGCGCCGCCGCGTCGAAGTCGTCCTTCACCGCCAGCGGGCGCCCGCCGAGTTGCCGCGGGGAGGGCGGCGTGGGGGGCGCCACTGGGCCCTCCTCCTGGCGAGTCTGGGGCGGGGTGGGGGTGGGGCGGGGTGGGGTGGGGGTGGGGGTGGGGGTGGGGGTGGGGTTGGGGTGGGTGGGTGGGTGGATGGGGTAAGGTAGGCGGACGGGGTAGGCTTAGATGTGCACCCATGTCCACCCAAGAACCTGACCTCTGGAACTTGCCAGAGCTTCCAGGCAAGTCACTGTAACCGTACCTTTTCTACCTCTAGATGTTGCATCCACTTGTCGTGTGCCTCAAAGAGCTGGGCTCTAGTCGTGCCTCCTCTTGGACCCTGCCCTCCCATGCACTTGTCTGATCTAGGAATCTTGAATCTTGAATCTTGGATCCAAAAGTGTTTTAAAGCGCTTTAAAGCGCTTTGGGGGCCCCATATTGGATTCAAAATTCGAGATCTAGAGTCCTGGGAATCTTGAATCTTGAATCTTTGATCCACAAGTGCTTTAAAGCGATTTAAAGCGTTTTTTTGGGGGGTGTCGCACATTGGATTCAAGAATCAAGATCTAGAGTCCTGAGAATCTTGAATCTTGAGTCTTAGATCCAAAAGTGCTTTAAAGCGCTTTAAAGTGTTTCTTTGGGGGGGTGTCGCACATTGGATTCAAGATTCAAGATCTAGAGTCCTGGGAATCTTGCATGTTTTATCCAAGAGCGGTTTAAAGCGTCTGCTTTCAGTCATTCCTGTTTGGGCTTGCACTTTACTGGCCTTTTCGACGTGTGCGCAGTAAATACAGTTGATAGTTCAGCATTGGATGTGGTTAACGACTTGAAACAACTCCACACCAACCCTTGGATATTAAAAAGAGTACCAGAGTTTCACATACTTTCTGGCAGGTTTTGTGCAGAACATATTTTGTTCAGGGAAACTAGTTCTGTTAGCAGACAGCGTGGCATTGGTCAGGGCATATGAGGTGTGAGCAGAGATTTTGGTATTGGCCGAGGATTGCGAGCTGACAGACGACGTGGATTTGCAGATGGGTTGAGATGAGAGATGGAGGATTCGCAGCAGATGTTTGTAAGTTGACAGACGAAGAGGACTCGCAAAACAGTTGAGCTGAAAAAACCAAGATGTGTAGGCGAAGCAGAGGAGGTATGGTTTGCCTGCCTTTTTGTTTGATACACTTGCGCCGGTACCCTCAAAGAGATGCTTTACAATCAATTGAGCGCGGATAACATTAGCCATGAAGACTATGTCAAACACAATTATTTTGGCCTCATTGAGAGAACATCACGATTTCTATTTGACAGCAAATGTGTTTGTCTTGGCTGACATGCTTGAAAGCTTCAGATGTTGTTTTTTTTTTCCTTTTTTTTTTTAATGGTCTAGACCCTGTGTATTATTACACGATGCCTAACTTCGATTTACACTGTACCAAACTTTGCTTGTGATGCTAATTGTCCAATTAACTTGTTGAAGTATATAGTCAGTTTCTGACGAGAACATGAATGAAATGATTGAAGAAACAGATACAGAGGAGGAACGCCACAGACAATTTGTTCAGAACGCAGAAGAGCGGGTACTATTTATATGGGCGGCAAGTCTTAATGCATCGTCTGCGGAAGTCTGCAAAAATTGTGAAAGGAGCCCACTGTTGGTACTATCTGTCTAAAATGACTTGACCCCCTTACAGAAGCAGCAGGCGCGGTTGTGGGTATTCAGCCTGGAGCAGGCCTGTAAAACAATAAAGTATATACAACTCAGGGCATTTATGTGCAGTTTGAGGGTCCAGGCATGTATGTATATATATATATACATATGTTGGAATACACAAATAAAACAAGTGCCTCGAAGGATTCCATTCAAATACCTTACTCCGAAGATTACCCCATTTTCGCGGGCACGCCCCTGCGACCCCCCGGGTACCCTATTCACAAATTGTGTTCCAGAGAAGCTTCTGCATTTGCGAGGGGCGCATGTGCGCTTGGGGAAGGGACTACACATGTACCACGTTCAAATTTGGAAGCATTCAGGAACTGAAAATACTTCTTTCTGGGCTGTCTAGGAAGCTTCAAACCTTTGGAAGAAAGCTTCATTTGTTTGAAGCAAAAAATGACATTTGGCAGCGGCAAAATGTTGAGGCTTTCCGTGGGACTCCGGCTCAAGGGTAGGAAGCTTGGCCAAGAGAAAGGAAATGGACACCGGACACAAGAAAGCTTACCCGCCAGTATTCGCTCGCACAAAAGGGAAACAAGGGTACTCAGTGCAGGAAAGTGTTTGTTGTGCACAAAGACATAAAGTAGGGTCTCTCCATATGTTTTGGCCAATCCTGCATATATAGATGTGTTGCGTGCAATGTATGCGGCAAATTTGTTGGACTTGGACCTCCACAAAGGCGCCAAGTCCCCATTTTTCTCGCCGAGGCGCCGGGATGGGTTGCATGGCGGACGTGGCCTGCACGATCGCGTCGCTGCCAAACCTCCCGAGCCGCGAACGGTTCGCCGCCGACTCGAGGGAACCAAGCCGGAGCAAGTTGGGTGCGGGTGTCCAAAATAGCTAACCCCAAAATGGGTTGCAAGGTCTGGTAAATGAAAAGGGCCAAAACCTGTGGTCCAAGTCTGGGTGGCCCAGTGGCTGAATTTGGAGCACCCATTTGTATACCTAGACCCCCCTAAACTGTCCCAAGAATCCGGGAATCCACCCCATCACTTTGAGCCATGACCCACGTTTTTTGGAGGCCTCGCACGCTACAAATGGGTGGGGAAAGCCTACACATATTGTGTCTTGCAAGGGTATCACATGCATGTTATACATGTATGATATGTATAACATACCCAAAATAAATAAAAAGAAACATAACAACAATAATAATACAAATGAATAATAATAGTACTAACAATACTAACAATAGCAATAATAGTAATACTACTAGTAGTAATGACAACAATTATAGTAGTAATACTAATACATAATACTACTACTACTAATAATAATAATAATAACCTCAATCATAATGAAAACAACATACCGATAACAATAATGATAATGATCATGACAACAATGTCAACAATAATAACAAGAACAATAATAATAACAATAACTGATATGCAAATACTAATGATACTACTAATGATACGTAATAAAACTAATGATGAATAGACGCATATCTACATAATATGTTTATATACACACTGCCGAGGCGCCAAGTGACCATCGCGCCGGCCATGGAGAGCCTTGCCTGCATGGCCTGAAAGGCCAGCCTCGCGGTCTCTCTGCCCATCCTAAGCCAAGTAGTGGGGCGCGAAACCGGCGAAAGCCACAAACCCCATCAATTCCATAACTAAATAATGGAACCATTCTGAATATACTACAGTATTTTGTGTGTTAACAAAAAAAGGAAAAACATATTTTGGACACCTAGGTCTCACTCGTGCCATTGGCCCTGGTAGAGGAAAGGAACTCTGTACTCACCTAGGTCCTCCAGTAGACAGGTTAGAATCAGGGTACCGTTTCTTTTTTCTGTAGACTATTTTAGTAGGGGAACCCTCCCCCCAAAAACGAAACGGTAAAAGTTGGCACCTAGCTGGGGGACCTAGAGCCAACTCATTTTGGGCACCAGTGTTTTTTGTCGTACAGAAGTGAACCAGACACAAGCTTCAAATGAGACAAGGTGGACATGTCTCGGAAAGCAAGACGCACCCCTGGTTTTAAGCCATTGTTTGGATCTTCGGTCTTCGGGGTCTGGAGCACTGGCACCTGACCCAACATCAAAAACCGTCAATTGGTGTGGAACCTACTTTTGAGGGAGCAAGGGATGAGTTTTTTGTCCCCTGTAAAACATGGAACCGACCAGCGTGTCCCTTTCAAAGGCAAATGGTCCAAACCAGGAACCCTCCCCCCCAGTTAAATCTCATCCTAAACAAAGGGTAAAGGCCAAGGACGCAAAAGGGAAATAGTGGGCTTGAGGGGTTTTAAAGGGAAACCAACCAACCAACCAACCAACCAACCAACCAACCAACCAACCAACCAACCAACCAACCAACCAACCAACCAACCAACCAACCAACCAACCACCACTTCGTGAGTCCCCCTCAAAAAAAAAAAAAGCCCGGTGAAGCCGTGCCAGGCCCGAAGCGGCCGTCCAAACCTGTCGCGTCCAAGTCGCTTGTACTTCTTCTCCATCTTCTTGATGCTCCTCGCAACACAAAGCTTCGGCCTGAACATGTAAAACCATGTTGGACCTACTTCAAAGTCTCCTCCATTTGGTTCCCCGGTTTGGTATAGACGTGGCCAGGGTATAGAAGTGGTGAAGCTTTCACCCGGAAAAAAAGAAAAAAAAAAAAAGAAGAGAATGCCGAAGTCCCGGGTCCTGTTGCGGCTGGGCAGCTGGTGCTCCACCTCGCCCCTGGTCAGCTTCACTTGGATCTGCTTGGCCACATCTGCCCCCGTCTCCAGCGCGCGTTCCCGAGCTCTGGGTCCGAAGGCCATGACGCGGCCGCCCGCAGGGGCCACTGAACCGCCGGTCTGCGAGTGCTGGAGGCGAGCCACAAACGGAGATCCAGCGGAATCCAAACCGGGGAACATGAGCCACAAATTGAGAACCTGCAAAAAGGGTCGACCCCAAACCAAGGGCGGCCCAGCCTCTTCCCTCAACCTTCACTTAGCGAGGTGATTGTGACTCAGATTTTCCCGACCTCTATATGTTTACAATACTATAGGTGTCCATTTGCTGTCCCAAATTTCCATGAAATCTAAAAATCTGAACTGCAAAACCCATGAGAGCCCAAAACTGCTACCAAATCAAGCTGTCCGTTGCTCAAACAACCTAGTTCTCATGTGCGTACAATGGAGGAAAGTGTCCTGTTTCCCAAAAAGTTAAAGTTCAAAGATCCCACTAGATAGGCATAAAGTGAAACACAATCTATTGCGAATCGCCGCATGTTCACGCGGATTCGACAACAGCGTTAATGCGCCTTTTGAAGGGGCCCAAGCTAGGGTCGGCCTCCTCATCAGTTTGGGTGTCTCAAAATCCGGGAAACAAAATTGGTGGGTTCCAACTTTCGGATTGCCTTCAAAACCACCCCATTAGCAAGTGTTGGTTTGGATGGGGACCATGGGTACGATTGCTACGCGAAACTTTCTTTCCGAAAGGTCGATCGTTCTACTTGACATGTCAAGGTCTTTCGGAAAGGTTGTTAGCTTGGGCCCGTTGAAGCCCCTTCCTGCGCCTGAAATCCAGAAGATTCCCAGTTCTCTTTCGCACAAGACACAACCAGAAGCCAATCTGAACACCGACCATCCGGGAAGCATCGAATCATAGACATGAATCAAGGAGGGGCGCCTGAAAAAACATGCTCACCGCACAAGCAACTCTAATCAGAGATCTATGTGGGAGCGTCTCTCAACATTGCAGAAGTACAAAGTGGTTGGATTCCTTTTCCCGGTGGATCTATCTACCTATGTACTAGATACCCAAGCAAACCACTCTGACAAAAAGGAGCATAGCTCGTTGCCTACGGGTCCTGGGATCCACTGGGCTTGGTTTTCCGCCGATCCCTCCCAGCAAAAAACACCCCAATGTGGGTGTGGGTCAAAAATCGGGCAACCCCAAAATGGCTTGCCCTGGTAAATGGAAACAAGGACTGCAACCTGCGGTCCATATCCTGGTGGCTTTATTCTGCTTCATTTTGACCCATGCCCAACGTGTCCTCGGGTCCAACCGAAGCTCGACTCGGCGAACACCGACTTGGCTCCCTGCGGGGCACGTAGCCGCTGAAGCCGGTCGCCTTGGCCGCTAACGCCGTTGGCCTGAAATTGGCCCTGGGCTGCGGCTTCTCTCCTGCAGCTTGGCATTTGGAAAAAAAATCGGACCAGCTTTCTTGGGTGCTTTTGCAGCTTGGCATTTGGATGATTTTCTTGTTTTTAAGACTCGGACCCCAAGAAGTGACTTTGGTCTTCCTCTTGGTGTCCCCTGCAAGCCAAACAGACCTAAATTACCCTTTCACTTTGCTTGAATTGCCCCAACAAGTCCGAACTAGTTGCACAGAAACCAATGCCTTCCCAAACCGAAATACGATCAACGTGTCCAGGATTTCAGTGAGTGAAACATGGATCTCCAGGGAAAGTCCATCGGGTTCCATGACTAAGGGGGATGAATATCAGAGCGCGGGTCCAGGTTTCCACTCATCGGCGCATGCCAGCCGTTGCTAAACCTTAACCCCGTACAGAAAGAATCACGACCAAATCTGGCAAAGGGAATGCCTACAGGTGTTTTCCCTGCAACTTGAGCTGGGTTTTCATAAAGGCACGGTCCCCCGAATTTGGTGGTTCCTCCACAAATGATTGTGGGGCTTCCATGTTTATCTGGAGAGTTTTCAGCTGAAGGCGGGCTATACCCGCCCCCCAGTTGGAACCCAGTTGTTCAGTGACCATGGTAAAAGAAGGGACCCTTGGCCGGATTGACCGTGTTAAGGTGGACAAACCACCGGACAGCAGAGAACAAGGGTCAGGGACGCCCGGAACCAGCAACAAAGGAGCAAGGACGTCACCTCTATGTATGCAATATCCTCCAAATCTTGCTGGTGCTCAGTAGGGACTGACCCAGGCTGTTGAGAATCCGGCGCGTTCGCAACACCCAGTCCCTGCCTATCGCACCAGCAAGAAATGGGTAAAGTGCATTCTCACCTGCCCAAAGGACCCAGAAATAAAAGGTGATGACGTGTTGGGATCAGTACTAAAAGTGGCTGCCAACATGGGAAAACCTTCAAAAGGTTCAAAGGTCGATCCGTTCTAACAACAACTGAGCAATACCTCCACGGATCCTCATGCGACATCTGCCGAAAACTCTGAGACTCTGAGGCGCCGTGCCGCAGCAAAGCCAAGATTCGGTGTTCCTTCGAGGGTAAGACATGGCAGGACAAACAGGGATCCTTACATTATACACCTGAACATTGCCTTGTAAATTGCGGGTTCCCTGTATTTTGGTGCAAAAAACAGGTTTTAAATGGGCAAAACGTATCTGTTAAGGAGCCCTGACAAAACATCCCAGAACCCTGGGATTATCCCTTGCCACCCGCCAGGTACCCGGGTTTGATTGTGACTCATATGGACCTGGCTGAAGATTCAAGGAACTGGACTGGACTCTGAAGAGAACACAACTTGGTTTAGTGGTTTAGTGGAAAACCCATTAGTTTGCAAAAAGTTAAAGTCCTAACAGCCAAGCAAAATGCACCAAAGGTAGCTTGGTAAAACTATTCCACCTACCACTCTGCCTGCTCTACCCCTCAAAAGATCGTATTTGCCATGTCCCAACGTTGCACTCCAGATCAACGCAGAACTTCAGCGCGCGCCCGAGCAACACCACTGGCACATGTGGTGCACTCAGAGCAGCTGCTCTTTGATCCCATGCTAAACCGGTGGTCCCGGTTCAAGGGGAACCAACTCCGGAGGGTTGTCTTCTAGCATGATTAGAGTTAGGCCCAGTTGTAGAATGTATATTGTGTTGTTTGCTTCACACGGAGTCACTGGTAAAATGTACAATGTAGCCTAAGTCTACCCCAGCTAGTTGCAACGTGGAAAAGTGAGTAAGGTATGCCACAGATCCCTGTAAAACCTGCAAGAGTCTAGCAGTTTACGGGCAAAACCTGGGAATCGCCTCCAAATTGGTGGTTTGGGAGGTGTTTGGAGGTTTGGGGGGGGTTTCAAACCCGACCCATCCAAACGCAGAGCCAAGGTTTGCGGCTTCCGAGTGAGGGTCACTGAACTCTGGGCATGCGTCCAAATAGGGAGACCCACAAAATTCAATAAAAGACATGGGTATGGGTCAGGGTCCAAATTGAACCATGGGACCGCAGGGTTTAGTCCTTGTTTCCATTTTGCCAGGGTAACCCGTAACCCGTTTTGGGGTTACCCCATGTTTGACAACCACAGCCACATCTTGACTTCTCCAGTCGCACTCGCAGCCTGCGTGTTGCTCAACAGCTTCGGGCCCGAACTCTGACCTCGCCGCGCCCGGGATCAAGTCGCAAGTGCAAATTGCCGGCTCCGTGCTCTGCAACGCGGGAAACACGTGCAACTATATGTACCATATCTGTGATTTACAAACTGCCGAACCGAAACCCTGTGGCCCTGCAAATTGGAACTGCTCCCAAATCCAACAGAAAGGGTCCCTGCAAACAGGGGTGCAGGATTTCCAAGCGATGAAAAGCCTTCCGAATGACCAAGTCTCCATAATAGGGGAGGTTCCCTTATCACAGAAATGGGAACCAGCCAGTCCTTCCCGCAACGCTGTATAGGGACCTTTCTGAATGAAACAGGATCTCATTGTTCTGCCTGCATTACAACAGTAATTAGCCTTCACATTTTAGGTCGCGACCTACCATGCCCCCAACCAGAACTCCGATCGGTAGCTCCAAAAGTCTCCCCCCCTTTATCAACACATTTAAAGTCATCTCCTTTTAGAGGTGTCCCGCCAAAGGTCAACAGGACCAATCTGGGCCAGGTTATGAAGCTTCTCTCAAAATGGGGGACCTCTTTTGGTTGGTATCCGGTATGAAGCCACACCCAACCATACTGCGGATGGACGAACTCCTGCACCACCTAAGAAACCCTGGAATGATTCGATTCCCCTGTAAATACCAACAAATAAATGGTTTCCCATGATTTCAAAGTGGTGCAGGATTTCGTCCATCCACAGTAGGGGCGTTCCCATTCCCATTCAGAAGGCCCTGATCCTCTCCGCAGATCCGGGGCTGCGGCGCAGTGCTATTTGTGGCCCGGTGGTTGCTGATCACCTGACATCCACCAGACGTCCCAAACCTGCATGGTGTTTTGGGACACTCCTGGAGGACCCGTTGATACACAGAAAAGTGCTCCGGTCCCGACAGTTTTGCGCACTCAAGCGCTTTGTTCCTGCTCAAAACCAATGACTGCTAATACAAACACTAGACGCGGCGGCTTATTTGCTGGTTCTTGGGATTCTCTGGAAGAGGTTGCAGTAAGTTTCAATAACGCATGGATGAATGCAATGTTGGCTAGACACTGATGATTTGAATGATGGCAAGGGTGTATTGGTTTGCGGGTGCCTTTTCTTTTCTCCCTGCCCAGTAGTTGCACCTGTATGAACCCAAGAAAGGTACGGCAACTGATTGAAGCCAAACCGGACGTCAAACGGAAGGTCTGAAAAACAACTTCCCCATCCCCACTTTGGGAAAGAAAGGAAACGCTTTTCCAGTCGCCCCTCTCTAGCGCGGAACCAGCAAACCAGGGAACTGTGTGCCACCGAACTTGGACAAGTTTGCCATGTATTTTGGCACCCAAGGAACTTTTGAGCGCTGCTTGCCCCCCGTTGGCACCGACGCCCTGGGCCAAAAACGGGCCGAGGGCCCGCACTGGGCATGGGGCCAGGGGCGGCGCAAGATGGGCCTCGAGAAACTCCGGGTCTGGCCAATCTCCTTACTCCTAGGTTGGGGCTGCTTCAAGGGAAGTGAGGCTCAAATCCCTGAAGCACTCATCTAAACCACCTAGGTCCTCCAGTAGAGAGGTTAGAATAAGTTGGTGCCAACTTTCTTCTGTAGTCTATTTTGGTAGGGGAACCCTCCCCAAGAAAAGGGTCAAAGGGCACTACTCAGGGACCTAGCCACCAATTTTGAATGTGTCAGCAACCCACTCGCGCCAGTGGCTGGCCCCGAAACATTACCCTGATCAAAGCCATCCAGGAGTCGTAGGTTCAAGGAAAACATCCCCCATGGCCCCAGTCAACGAATGGACAAGCAGAAGCCGCCTGAAAAAATGGCAACATGGCGGCCATGTTTGTCCTGAAAACAAACATGGACACCCTTCAAGACACACACGCTTCAAATATGGTGGAGGAAGCAGTTTGGGGACCTATTTGGAGGTTCCATCTTTAAAGTGATGCTATGGCTATGGTATTGTATTCTTGAGCAAGTTGTATGCATGCTTTGCTGATCGTGTTTGCAATTTCAGTTCTATAGCCTTGCTAGATTGACGTTGCAAGGCTTCAAGTAGAAGTTTATCTGGCATTTAGATAGATGGTGCTATTGGGAAGTAGATATGTTACATTGGAATTAGTTTCCGGCTACGATTTCAACCAGAACTAGATCAGGAACCGGCTACGTTGAAATAGACTTTGGGAGCTCCTTTCCAGGTGGAGCTTTGATTTCGGAATACCAAACCCCACAGAAGTTGGCAACTTGAGTCAGGTCTTTCTTTTTGAGCTTCGGTTTCCTCGAGGTGCCTTGATGCCCATGGTTGGCATGTCATTTGGCAACTTACACAAAGCCTCGAGTCTCGAGGAAACCGAGGTTTCCGACAAAAAACCCACTCAAGCAGAAAGTCAACTCGGCCAACCATTCCTTCCCAGCTGGACTGGTTTGCTATGTCTTTCTCTTCATCTCTCCGCTTTTCGCAGGGCTTTCCTTTGCAGGGACTACCTTTTGTTAGAAATTGCCGACCCTCAAAAAGGAATCCTTCACTACAAGGGGGTCGATCAATTGTCCACAAAAGGTGGCAAAAAGACCCCCCCAGTTGGCGTTTTTGTGGCTTTCTCCTCTTTGTCCGTTTTCCGCAAGGGTTTCTGAGCGTTTGCCGTTGGGCCCTGTGTGGCGAGCAAAGAAGAACCCTTCCTGCTGGACCCCGGATGAATAAATGCCAGCTTGTTCATGGCGGGGTGTCCCTGTATTTGGTGGGGATTCATCACTTTTGGAGGGGAACACGCCCATCCTACTAAACTGGGTTTTATTAATCCGGGGTCAATATCGGTTGCTGTAAGAGCATAAACCAACCTAAGAAACACGTAAACAAACATGAGTTGCACAACTCTGTTGGCCCAATGGCGTACGTAGCCTACTGGGCAAAAACAGGGCCTCTGCGTTTTTGTTTGGTACTTGAATTGAAGGCCGACTGAACCAACACCCGTAAAGACACAGAAGCTCATGTTTGTTTCCTGGCTGTTTGAGTAACTATTCCCTGAAAGTTGCGCACTTGTTGTTGTGTTTTTCCCCCCCAGAGAGAGAACAGGGACACCACTCCACAAAACGGAAGTGGAAAACAGGTGTCCCTGGTTTGCTGAGGCCCGCGCTCTCTCTCCCTCAGGTCTCTGGTGGTAGAACACGCTGTACTCGGGGTCGCAGCCTGAAGCAACTTCCATTTGAACCGCAACCGTCGGGCAAAGGAGAAGCAAGCGCTTGAGTTGGACCGCTGGAATGTCCACATGCTGACCACCTAATTCTTCAACAGGTATCACAGGCAATTCGCAACACGAGCGCACGAACGCTAGCGCATCGCATGCTTCCATGGGTGCAACCAATCAATCAGTTGAATCAATATATTCAGCTTGACGATGCCCATTCAGGCACCTGTCGGCTAAGGCAGAAGGAACCAACTGCCCGTGCGATTGAGTTGAACAGCACGAAAAGTTAGGAGGATGCGCTGTGGAAAATCAGCCCTGGTGCTGCCAAGGGGTTGATTCCTATCCTATGACATGATCATAGACCTGCAATCCCAGCTTTCCACCACAGGTCCTAATAGACAGGGCTGTGGGGAATGACCACTCCTGTGATACAACGGAAAGGGCTTTCCAAAGACTAACCCCCCATATAAAGGGGGAGATTCCCAAAAGTATCACAGAAGTGGTTGGAGAAACCCCGAGTGATCAACCACAACCCTGGGTCCTAATCCTCAGGGCTCGTCTGATGCTTGCCAGACGGTTTGATACCCGCCCTGGTGCACAAACGCCAGGGTTCCTGGGAAGGAATCCTTGTACTTGGCTGGCCTCTGCCCACAGGGGGAAATACAAGGCTGACCTTACCTAAGGACCAAAACGGAACATCCAAAAGGTGGAGGATTTGTGCAAGGGAGCTTGGGAAACAGAGTTCGAACAACCTGAAGCTTGCATGTGTTTTTGTTTGTGTGTTCTTTTGGCTGCTTTTAGGGGGGCCCGCTTTTCAAACTCCAAAAACTTCCATTTGCTTAGCCCCCCTGGAAAAAAATATATATCCAGTAGTGATGAGTTCCTTTTAAAATACCAATAAGGGAAAAATCACTGTTAAGCAAATGAGTGATCGTTAAATTCCTCTTAAGTTCCCGTTAAATTATTCAGCAACTGGAGGACCACTTCCTTTTCCTTTGTTGGACATCCACGCCGGACGCGCGCCGAGGCCGCCGCGAAAGTCGCCGGTCAAGTCTGCCTGCGGAAACGCCAAAGGCAAACGCTTGGCCCCGATGGGACGAGGGCACCCAGAACCTCAAGCTACCCTTAACAAAGGGATTTTTCACCCCAGAAGTTTGAGCAATAAGCCATGTTACGGGTAGTTTGAGGGTCCAGGTTGTTTTGCTTGTTTTCAATTCTTGGGTAATGTTTTTAAGGGAGGCCGAAGGGAAGCCAACTAGTTGGGGGACCCCTAATTTTGAGACAAACCCATATGGCCCATATGTACAATGTCGAAGGTGGTTGGTCAGCAATCCCACCATCTGCTGGTATCCGCCGACGCGGTTAAACCTGCTTGACCAATCAAGTCTTGCAATCAAAGCTCGAAGGAAGCGCGTCTAGAAACATGCTGAGCCCGTTTCTAGCAACAGCCACACATGGGTGTGGCTCAAAATGAACCAGGAGGGGTTACGTAGGCTTTGGTCCATGTTTCCACTTACCAGGGTTCCATTTCGGTACCGGTTTTTTGAGCCACAGCCACATAACGCTCACACTCAGCCGTCGCAAAAAGGCTCCTGGTAAGTAGAGGCACACGCAGCATTAAAATGAAACAATTGCGCAGCACTCAGCAACACCGATACCAACAATTGGACCATCACAAAAGCACACGTGCTCTAACAATTATAACAAATCTGCCAAAGAGGCAATGCGAGCCGACCTCAATGATTTCCTGTGTGGCCTGATCCACGTCAGGTTTAGTGAGCCCCCTGTGGCATTGCACGTTTTGCAGCCGGCGAAGCGCCCGATAAACCCTCTGCAAACCTCCATGTGGGGGCTTCTCAAAATCGAGGACCCCCTTTTGGCCAGCTTGGGAATCCAAAAGGACATCCAACCCATTGTTCTGGGTCGTGAGAAGCCGCGCAAGGCAATGCCCCGGACAGAACTGGGAAGCCCAGCCCCCGCCTGCTGTTCGCCCTCAGGCGCCGGAGGTGCCGAGATGGGCCGGTTGAAGGGGCCATCATAAGCCCGCTTCGCCTGAGCCGAGCTCACGCCGTGGACGCGTGGGTCGTTCGTTTCGGGAAACTCGATCCTGTTCCCCCCCCCCCCGCAGTTAGGACTGATATGTTAGTTGGGGGGACAAGAATCAACTGGATCATCTCAAACTGCGGAAACCGACTAAGTCACTAGCCTAATGTTGGCTTCTTGTTCTTATCAATGTTGAAAACTGGTTGAGACTGGTTGAGACATGTCCATTCCGATCTCAGCTGTCGCTCTCAACCCAAAATCACGTGTTGGATTCTATATATATATATATGTTCCAGGCTTCCTTGGTCCCCCCCCCCACCCCCCCCCCAATGGTCATGCTCAGTCGAGAAGGTAGCACAGTGTGACCCTACAAGCCCCCCGCCCCCCTGTGGGATGGGTGGGGGGGGTCCATGGTTCCCACCCCCCCCGCCCCCCTGTGGGAATGGGGGGTGGGGAGAATGGTAGCACAGTGTGACCGCAAAGCCCCCCGCGACCATGGTTCCCACACCGCCCGCTGGGGTAGCAAGCAAAGTGCGTTTGCCACTGGCGCGTTGCAGCGCACTTGGTCGGCACTTGGTTGTGGCGCTGCAAACCACAAACTGCGTCGTGGCATCGCGCACTGTCAATTGCGACAGCGCAGCAACTTGTCGCGTGCTGCAAAATGAGCAAATGGCATTGCAGCGCATCACACGAACAGCGCCGCAAACGCGCCCACAACGTCGCGCGCACACTGGAGCAAGCCGCCCCACAAGTCCCCCCCCCCTTCTGTGGGGGGCGGGGGGGCCAGGTCCCCCCCCCCCTGAATGGATGGACCCATACCATTGGGGGGGGGGGGGGGGCTGGGGACGACGGGCGACGGGAACATATATATATATATATGTAGTGGATCTAACAAGAGTAGCATAATTTCCAGATATTGCATCTGACTTCTACATGGAACCTGATTGAGGGGTCCTGGAGCTACTGCTCTCCTTTCAAAGGGACCCTCTGGTAAGTTCCATCTTAGTGCACAGCAGGGTATTGAAACATTCACCGCGTCAAACCCGGTGGCTGCTCTGAGCTATATGAGTAAACTGAGGCCCTTGTCCGGGCAGAAACACATCGTTTGTCTCAAATAGGGGACGCCTGAAAATGGTTTCGGTGTTCCTTCGGTTTTCCGTTTAAGCCACCCCAAAAGGGTTGCCTGAACAAAAACATCTGTGTAATATAACCTTCTGGAGGATGCAATGAACGAATGCGAATTCACAAGATCCGAGCTACCAATCCAGCAACAAGTCACATGCCATACCATCCAATGCAAAACCTGACTGGTGGGGGCTTTAGGGTCCTCGACGAATTGTGTCTGAGACTAGCTGGTGGGTTCCACCTACTTAGACACTTACTGGGATATGTCAAAACCCCTCACGGCACAAGTCTAAATAGGTATCTCTTAGAACAGGGGACCCCCGATATGCCGCAACGGTTTTCCAGTCGGTTTCCCTAGAACAAAGACCTTCCCAAACAAAAAATACAAACCCAATGGAAGTGGTGGCTTTACTTTTGGAATTCCTTTAAAACTACCCCCAGTCTGGGATCCCTCATAACTTGGTTGCTGTTGACTCCTCTGCAAGAAGTTGAACTTTTTGTTGGTCCAATGGAAAAACTCCACTGTCTGCCAAAAGATAAAGTCCAAAGATCCCGCCAAATAGGCATCCAACAAAAAGCAGACACTCCCAAAGGCCCCCCGCCCCTACGGAGGAATGTTTCGGCATCCCGGCACCCGGATGCAGCAGGGCCGGTCCCTCATCCGTGTACTGCCTCGGCATGCGTTTATCTCAGTTGCCCAAAAGACCCAGAAATAAAAGGTTAACATGTTGGAACCTTTTCTAAACATGGACCAAACATGGGAAACCAAAAGGTCAAAAGGTCGGCTTTGGGCAAGTGAGCTATTGATTTCCCGTGCCATTGTGCGGTGACGACTCACGACGAGTGTAGTCATGCCTAACAAGGCTCGTGCAAGCCCATCAACTATTTGGCGCTGGAAATCGTCGTTATTTCTAGGCGTGCCCAAAACAAGGTTCTCCAGACAAATCCCACACCAATGCACTTGACCCATAGACGACACGTTGTCCTGTCGGAGATGGCGTAAGCGCACGAGGAGTTGGTGCGAGCTTGACCGTCATGAAGGTTCCCTGGTTGCAAGCTTGCAACATAATTCAACGTAGGGGATCGGATCATGGTGGATGTCCTTAGCCTGGTACAGCCAGACCACCCACACACAGACACGGACACAGACCCAGACAGAGCCAGCCAGAGCCAGCCAGCCAGCCCGGCAGACAGACAGACAGACAGACAGACAGAAAGACAGAAAGACAGAAAGACACAAAGACACAAAGACGCAAAGACGCAAAGACGCACACACACACACACAGAGACACATACACAGAGACACATACACACACACAGACACAGACACAGACACAGACACAGACACAGACACAGACACAGACACAGACACAGACACAGACACAGACACAGACACAGACACAGACACAGACACAGACACAGACACAGACACAGACACAGACACAGACACAGACACAGACACAGACACAGACACAGACACAGACACAGACACAGACACAGACACAGACACAGACACAGACACAGACACAGACACAGACACAGACACAGACACAGACACAGACACAGACACAGACACAGACACAGACACAGACACAGACACAGACACAGACACAGACACAGACACAGACACAGACACAGACACAGACACAGACACAGACACAGACACAGACACAGACACAGACACAGACAGACACAGACACACAGACACAGACACAGACACAGACACAGACACAGACACAGACACAGACACAGACACAGACACAGACACAGACACAGACACAGACACAGACACAGACACAGACACAGACACAGACACAGACACAGACACAGACACAGACACAGACACAGACACAGACACAGACACAGACACAGACACAGACACAGACACAGACACAGACACAGACACAGACACAGACACAGACACAGACACAGACACAGACACAGACACAGACACAGACACAGACACAGACACAGACACAGACACAGACACAGACACAGACACAGACACAGACACAGACACAGACACAGACACAGACACAGACACAGACACAGACACAGACACAGACACAGACACAGACACAGACACAGACACAGACACAGACACAGACACAGACACAGACACAGACACAGACACAGACACAGACACAGACACAGACACAGACACAGACACAGACACAGACACAGACACAGACACAGACACAGACACAGACACAGACACAGACACAGACACAGACACAGACACAGACACAGACACACACACACACACACACACACACACACACACACACACACACACACACACACACACGCAACTCCATCTCCCCCACATGGAAACATAAACACTGAGCAAGCATCTGATAGCGGAACATGTTACGTGCATCTCGAACTATGTTTGAACACACAGAAACCATTCTCTAAGGGTACTTATGGGTGTGAGGTCGTTTCAAAGCGGTTCCAAAAGGGCATCCATTTCGACGCACGTTCACAGTCTCTTCAAGGCTTGCTTCGAATCAAGCGGGCAAGTGGCCAAATGGTAGGCGGCATGGCTAAATTCACAAACTCCAACTGTCAGAGACGGAGGGAACTTGTGAAGATCGCTCGGCCTCGAGAAGCCACCAGACAGGATGTTAGTACCAGGGTAAAATCGGGCTTGGATTCCTTGTTACTGGTGCTTTCGAAAAAAAAGTCTCACTTTTGGGGGAAGTATTGAAGTAGGGGAAGAAAGATGAAGGTAAAACAACTATTAAGCAGTATCCTTTCTGTGCATGTGTGCTACGTGTCAATAATCACAACTCAAACAAAGCACTCCCAAACCAAGGAGTCATGCGCGGAATCGGAACTTGCCGGGGTCCGGGCATGTTCCCCCGGCCATGCAGCGCAGGGGACTGGGGCGGATAGAGCGGCCGGATTAGCTGATTAGCTGACTTCCCATCGAGTGGCTAGGACAAGCAAGCGACCCAACTTTGCCACGGAAATGGTCCCTTGTGTTCCTAAGAAGTGAAAGTCCAGGAACACAGGGAGTGAGTTTGTGGCTAGATCTGTGGAGAACCCACCAAACGAACAGGCCGTTGGTTGCAGAACACCGATCCGCGTTCCCCATCTGCAGTGGAGAAAAAACGGCAACGAAAAGTTGGGAAACCTGCTGTATAACAGAATCAGGCCCCTAGGGTTCATATGTTTTCAGCCGTTCTTTTGGTTTGAGAGCTGAGGCAAACAAATGAGGTCGCGTCTGACTTTCTGGGTTCAAGTTTGCTGCTCTAGACACGCGGCCCCCCATTTTCCGAGAACACCGGATTGTATTTCTTATGATGTTCGTTGCCATCCCCGAGAAACATGTGGATAGATACATGCACACATATCTATATACGGCTCATATCTATGTATACATGCATAATATGTCAATCAATTTCCTGTGAGTCCTGGCAGTGGATGGGATACTGTACTTAGACTAGCCCCGGTCCCTGGCTCCAAGCAATCGGCACAGTCCCGGATTGCCAATCTTGAATCTGCAATGCCCTCAAAAACAAAATATTATGTTCCAGTGCAGGTCTGTTCATGGCCCTTGCTCGACGGGCCCCGCAAGTATTCAAAGCCTACCTGCTGGCTGGTGCAGGGAAACCTCAACTTTGCTCGTTTGCATGTTGGGGTAAATCTGGGTGATTTATCATATTTCACCAGACTGAAATAAGTTGGTTTGGGGGCTATTCCCCACATAAACCACCATTTGGGGTAAATTCGGCCGTGTGAGGTCGTGATAATTCACCCAGGTACATGGCCATCCCCTCGTTTGCTCGCACCTTCCCAGGCATTTTGAGATGCCAGTTGCCAGTTGCCCTCGACCCAGCTGGTTGGGAAGACCCCCAGCCCAAGAACAACAGGCCTCAGAGAAAGTGAAGCGCATGCTACAGCGAGAATCTGCAAAAGCGGCTCGTGTTTTTGAAGATGGGTTGTTTGCAAGGGCCCTTGAGGGGTCTGGGTTTTTCGTTGGAGGGCTCGGGGGCCTGCATTGGAGGGGTCATGAGCCTTGGGGTGGTACCATCTGTATTGCGGCCTTAAAGGGAATCAAGAGGACCCCCAAGCTCATTTTGGGGGTCCGGCAAAAAAAACACACACACACACACACACACCCGGGCATATATTGGTCCTTTCAGTAACTTGCCCAAATCTGGGGGGCCAAGAGGGAAGGTCAGCTGGGTCCAGCATCCCCAATCCTAACCCCCCCGTTCTGGCATAAGGATTCAGGATGGACTTCTGGGTTGACTTTGAAAGGAAATCCGTCCCAAAGAACGGGAGCGGGTCTCAAAATAGAGGGCCCTCCATTCACTTAAAGGGAAATCGAAAGAAAACCAACTGTCTTTCGGGCTCCTGATTT